TATTGTTGCTTGTGCTTTTGGGGTCTTATTCATAAAGTCTTTGCCCAGTCCTATGTCCTGAAGTGTTTCCCTGTTCTAAAAGCTTTATAGTTTTGGATCTTGTAAGTAAGTCTTCAATCCATTTTGAGTTGATTTGGGTATATGGGAAGAGGTATGGGTCTAGTTTCATTCTTCTTCACATGGATATCCAGTTTTCCCAGTATCATTTACTGAAGAGGCTTTTCCCCCAGTGTATATTCTTGGCATCTTTGTGAAAGATCGTTGGCTATAAGTACATGTATTCTGTTCCACTGGTTCATGTGTCTGTTTTTATGCCAGTACCATGCTGCTTTGGTTAGTATAGCTTTGTAGTATAATTGGAAGTCTGGTAGTGTAATGCCTCGGTTTTATTTTTTTTGTTGTTCAGGATTGCTTTGGCTATTCAGGGTCTTCTGTTGTTTCATATGAATTTTAGGATTGTTTTTTCTATTTGTGAAGAATGCCATTGGTATTTTAATGGGGATTATGTTGAATCTGTAGATAGCTTTGGGTAGTGGACATTTTCACCGTGTTAATTCTTCCAATCTATCAACAAAGAATGTCTTTCCATCTTTTAGCATCCTCTGTAGTTTCTTTCCACAGAATTTTGTAGTTCTCATTGTAGAGACCTTTCACCTATTTTTTTTTTAACCTCACAGTTATAAAAAAAAAAAGAAAAAAATCCCGTTAAAAAATGGGCAAAGGAGCTGAATAGACATTTTTCAAAGGTAGACATACACATGGCCAACAGGTACTTGAAAAATGCTCAACATCACTAATCATCAGGGAAAATGCAAGTCAAAACCACATTGAGATATTATCTCACCCCAGTTAGACTGGCTTTATCTAAAAGACTGAGAATAACAAATGCTGACAAGGATTTGGAGAAAAGGGAACTCTTCGACATTGTTGGTGGGACTGTGAATTAGTGCAGCCATTATGGAAAACAGTATGGAGGTTTCTCAAACAACTACAGGTAGAACTACCATATGATCCAGCAATCCTACTTTTGGGTACATACCCAAAGGAATGGAAATATCATGTTGAAGGGATACATGCACTCCTATGTTCATCACAGCTCTATTTGCAGTAGCAAAGATATAGAACCAACCTAAATGTCTATCATTGGATGCCTGGATAAGGAAAATGTGTTATATATATGTGATAGAATACTACTCAGCAATGAAAAAGAGTGAAATTCTGCCATTTGCAGCAACATGGATGAGCTTGGAGAAAATTATGTTAAGTGAAGTAAGCCAGGCACAGAGGGAAAAATACCTCATGTCCTCACTCATAAGTGGGAGCTAAGAAACAAAGACAGACAGACTATAATAAAACATGGAACTTTCTGGAGAGAACAGACCTGTAGTTACTAAAGGTGGGAAAGGGGGAGGGGGATGGGGGTAGGGAGTAATTAGGTAAGGAACACAAAGTAATTATGATTTGTAATGATGAACATGCTAATAATATTGATTTGGTCATCACATACTATATACACAAATACTGATAGTCAACTCTGTACCACATAAATACGTATAAATAAAAATAAAAAATAAAAAAATTTTGAAAGGCATTTATTATTAAATACCATTTAAAAAATATTATTGGTACATCAGCCTACCTTTAACATTAAGAACCTTTAACTTGATTTTCTAGTGCCGAATCCCATGTTTACTGTTAACAGGCAAGAAAAGAATACGTTAAATAAAGAAAACCAGGGGAGGATGGACCATGATGGGAATAGAAAAGTGAAAGGACAAGCTTAAAGTTACAGTCAGTTCTGCTATAACACAACATGCATTCCTTAAAAATTACTGCACTATGCAAAATTGCGCAATAAAAACCACATAAGGCTTATTGGGAAAAGAGGGTTATGGCACAGCATCAAAAACTGCACCAGTGACACACAGAAAAAGATAGGAGCCTAATGAAAATGGTAACACACTCTTGCATATATTGGTTAAAAATACATAAATACTGGAATAAATATATATAGTTAAAAATACATATATGATTAAAAATACATAAATAGTGGAATAAATATGGCAGTTTACCTTGAAAAGACTTGGCATTTGCTTGTGGAAGCAGGCATGGGAAATGGTGGAAGAAGGTTATCTGAAATTGGATGGAAAGTTGTAGCACCAGATATGAATGGGTGTGGTTCCTACCACCCATGATGAACTGAGGTGGATGGTGGATGTTTGAGGTATGTGCATTTTGTGTATGCACATGTGGCTCGGTTCAGCTGGGTGCAGTTTTCTTCATTCACCTAGTGTTTCTTGCAGATAAAATCATGTAAAAGCAAATGCGAAATTTCATTATGCTCAGTGGTTCCTTAGAAAATCAATGGCTTTGGAACAAATTTGCATTCTGAAAACAAGCATTGTAGCAGAACTGACTGTATTTAATTAGATTGATAATTTTATTTAATTATTTCATCTTAAGAGAAAATACATCTCATTTGCTCTGAGACACCTGCTTGAGAATTCTGATACCCAGGAAATAAAAGGAGTGTAATTCTTAAAAGTCAAGATTCTAGTTGGGAGTTTTCTCACTCTTTATACCACAGACATGGTGTATATTCCTTCAATGCACTGCTCCGGGGGTACACAAATGATTTTTGTGGATGAACATGGATGAATGTTTTTATTTTAATATTTACTTATTTTAATGTTTATCAGGAAAACATACATCACAGCTTATGAAACCTATTGTTTCGTATGTCTCTGAACTGGGAGTGGTGGTACCGTGCTTCACCCTGGGGTGAAGCTTGTGGTTGAAAGGATTGGTAGTGGTTTCAGGATGGCCTGGCAGAGGGGCACTACTGCTGATTAAGCAGTAGGGGACCAGGAATGCTAACCATCCTGAAATCCTGTATGAAGAATTGTTCTGTCCAAAATACCAATAACATCTTCATGAGAGACTAGTTAGTACTAGGCTAATGAGGAGGAGAGAATGATAAAGTTGATAATAATTTAAATAAAGATGTTGAGTAAAAAAATAGTACTAATATGTGGTTTTGGTAAGAATGATGAAAATAGTCTGCAGTTGATGGAAGTTGAGAAAACACTCATTTGAGACAAGTAGTATCAGTAAGCTTTATTTGACAAACCCTTATATATAGTGCCGTGTGCCAGGCAGTGTTCTCAGCGCTGTGCAGATGTCAACTTACTCAACCATGGTTAATTGTTCTTGAGGCATTAGCCTAGTCTAAGGTGGTCTCTCAACCTTGGCTGCAAAATAGAGTCACACAGGGAAGCTTGTCAAAGTCTGGATGCCCGGGCTACACCCCAGGGAACTAAATCACAGTGTCTGAGGGAGGGACCCAAGCATCAGTTTTTAAAGCTTCTTAGGTATTCCAGTGTGTAACCAGGCTGAGAAGTCTAGGGCCATTTGAAAATTACTTCTTTTCCCAAGAAAAGCTGTGCCAGTCATACAAATTTTAGCTGAAGACCTACTCTGTGCCATGCCTTATAGGGAAAGACGATGGGGAGATAGCTCACAGAGGCTCTTCCATCCGAGGCAAGCAACAAAACTGTAAACAGGTGTTTACAATCCTGGCTGACAAGAGCTGATGCTTGGAAGTATGTTCAGAGTGTTTGGGGATCACAAGAGTGAGAACAACTAAATTAAAAAATTCTCAGATGCCAAATTTGGAAAATTATTAAACCGTAATTAGTTTTCTCTTCCTTACACACAACTTTCATATGGGGGAGAGGAAGCAAGAGGCATTTATCAATCAGTATCAATTTAGTCTTCCTAACTTGATTGTAGCCTTTGTGTGGTTGAGGTGGAGAATTTGAATTTTGTCTGTAGCTAACATCATAATTTTGTCCTGGTGTGGAACAGGCTCTTAATACCTCATGAAGCATCATCGGACTAATGTCCTTCGAGGAATAAGTCATCACAGCTTCACCAAAAGACTCAGGACTACTATAAGAAGACCTTAGGAAATAAACCACTTAAGTGATGCTTGTACTCATTGATTCTAATATGCTTAATGTTTTAAATACTCATATAGCTCTCATTTTAAAACTTAGAGTTAAGCAAATGTGTAATTTTAAATTACACGTTTAATTGAAAACAGCCACTAAGCTAAGATCATAAAATACTCCAGTGGATAAAGTTACCAATAACTTGCTTATTTTGGATGGTAACGTTCTTCAACAACTCTTAGTTTATATGTATGGATTGCCTTATTCTGAGAAAACCTGATTCTCCAGTGGATAGATTTATTTTCAGTTAAACCTTTGTAGTCTGTACTTAACCATGAATTACTTCCTGGTTTAAGAAACAGGCATAGCTATTTGTGGTATTTGTGTCTTGCACTTTTGGCATATTAGTGGTGTGAACCAGAGCTATGCCATCTGTAGTCAAGTGAGATTATTTTTAAAAAAGGAGTGAAATGATTCACTGGAAAATTTCAGCACAGATTCTTAAGGAACGATAAGATAACCCTAGAAACATTCTTATTTGGTGTCATATGCTGGTGGGTAGTGACAGGGGAAAAAAAGATGGTACGACTTGTTTCTTAAGATTTTGTTATTTTGAAAATCAGAGAGATGCTATGCTAGAAAGGAAGAAAGATTTCCATGCAGTGTCAATTAGGAGAGCTCTGCAGATGAATGAATAATTTTCCTCTCTCTGAATGTGAGTTAGAGCCAATGAGGTTCATTTCTAGTATACAGAACCCAAAAGGCAATATTCTCATGTGTAGAATGGTTGTTTAATTTCCTAATGGGTGTATGTGATAAACCTCTTTATGCTAAGATACTTCGGAAACAGGAGGACCAGTTCCTAGAATCCTAAGCAAGTCTGTGGGACCTAGATAAGCCATTTCTGAAAGCTGCTGAGTTTAACATATTTTCACTTACTGATATGTGTTTTAACCTAAATGTGTTGATTTCAGGGAACTCTAAGAGTTCCATTTGAGATTGCCTGAAACATGGTGTCTTTTTTGTTGTTGTTGTTTTTCTTTTCAGAAAGAAGACATAGCTCATCTAGCAAGCCGCCTTTGGCCGTTCCTCCTACTTCAGTATTTTCCTTCTTCCCTTCTCTGTCCAAAAGTAAAGGAGGCAGTGCAAGTGGAAGCAACCGTTCTTCCAGTGGAGGTGTTCTTAGCACATCCTCATCAAGTTCCAAGTTGTTGAAATCGCCCAAAGAGAAACTGCAGCTCAGGGGGAACAGCAGGCCAATGCATCCCATTCAGCAAAATAGAGTCCCCCATGGAAGAATGTGAGTATGGTCATGAGGGTTGTTAAAGCTTTCCTGCTGGATGTGGAACTGTACATACCAGTAGCATCTGAGAGTATCTGTGAATGATGTAACAAGAGAGCCCACCCACATTGGGGAGGATTCAGATATAAGTTGTTGGTTCTTGTTTCCCTACCATAACCTAGGAGCCTTTTCAGAGTAGGAAGATGAGTAATAATGAGGTTAATAATACTGATTTTTTCTATTATGTGACAGTTACTGAAACGAAGCTCTGCATGTGTACTATGTCATTTAATTATCACGGCAATCTTACAGAATAGGTATTATTGTTACCCCATTTTCCAGATGAAGAGAAGGAAGCTTAATGCTGTTGAGATTCAAATACCACTTCTGTCACTTCCTAGCTGTGGGGATTTGGGCAAGGCACTGTTTCTCTCAGACTCTAAGAATAACAGCCACTCCACACAGTTATTGGGAGTATTAGAGTTAATATATGTCAAGCACCTGACACAGTGTCTGGCCCACAGGAGACAGTTCACATGGGTGTTGGCACTCCTGCTGCTGCTGCTGCTGCTAACGACCATAGTGAGACAGTGAAAGGACTCCCAGATGCTGCTGTAGGATTTTCTGTGGCCTGCAAAGCAAATAGGGAAGCAGTGCTTCCTCCCCCCAGCCTTGGGTTTAGATCACAGCAATGATGAGGGAAGAGTGAAAGAAGTTTACATCCACCAGGCAGGCCTTTGGCAAGTTTCCACGGGAGATCTTTAGGTTGGCAGGCTCCTTAAGGTCACATGAAGGAGCAGCCATGCACTCCCATAAAAACATATCTTCCCTCATCATGGCATCCCTTAGCCTGGTGGTGGGTGGCTTTTCCCTGGCCTGCCTCCCTCTGGAGGGTATACCACATATCTCAGTCCGTGGTCTGATAACCTGATTAATCTAGGGCAGGATCCAGCACCTGCTACTGCTCAGGGACCTTGCCAGCTGGGAGAGGCCATGACATCTTACAGTGGCTCTGCTGCCATCAGGCTATTCCAGGTACAGCTGTTTGGGGCTGTTTGTCCTGGTTGCTAAGCCCCCAGCCCCTGTTCATCTGTCAGAAGTGCAGTACAGCAAGCTTGGTCTTTTGTTTCTGGAGCTGTCTGAAAGCCAAAGAAAACGCTAGTGTGGTGCATAAGTCACTCACCAGCTTAACAGCTGTTAGAGCACTGACTCCGTTGAACAAAGTTTATAAAACCTCATCAATCCAAATCTTCTTTCCTTGGAGCTAGGACTTTAGAGGGGGACCAGGCCACCTGTTAGCTTCCTACAACATCATCAGTTTTACCAAGCAAACTGATAGTGTCAGAAAGGTTCCAAGAGAAAGCAATTCTTTGTTAGTGGCACAGGTATTCAGCACTCAACCCCTCCACCGCACCCTCATCCCTTATACCAAGTGCTTATATCCTAAACTTCTATCATAAAAGCCTCTTTCAGGGGCTGGAGAATCACACTTCAGTGACACATCATATGCTAGTAAAACATTGGTCTTCCTCATTGACAGAAACAGAGAGCCTTTTCTTGGAGATATGTTGTTAGGCATGTTTGAGTCTTATAAGTCTTTAGTGACATTTCTTGGAAGTATTTGCTCACTCACAAGTTTACTTTGTTTTGATGAATCCTTTCTTTGAAATGACGGTTCTCAAAAGATATTCTCTAAGGGTTCTGCAGATAGTCTTTCATCCTTTTAGACTTTTTGATGTTTTGCTTCTTGCAGAAATTGCATTGGGTATCAGGTCCAAGTCTCCCATAGACCCATCTGTAAAATTTTTCTGAAATGATTAAAGACCAGATAAATTTGATGGTCCACTGGGGCCTGGGGCTTTTGCCTCACCAGGAGGGCTTATAGATTTAAGTGTGAAACCTACTGGTTTTTCTGGATAGTCCTAACAAAATACATAAGGTGCCTTCCAGGGGGCTGTACAGTGCTCAGGTAGACCCAGAACCTGCCCTCATCCCTCTGGCTCACTATTCACCCAGGGCCACAGGGCACTCAGGGCTGGTGTTCTCGCTTCCTCCTACAACAGCATGACACCCTCTGTGAAAGTGGAAAAGATTCATCCGAAGATGGATGCCACACTACTGAAATCTGCGGTGGGGCCAACCTGTCCTGCTACTGTGAGTTCCTCAGTCAAGCCTGGCCTTAACTGCCCCTCAATACCAAAGCCAACCTTGCCTTCTCCTGGACAGATTGTGAATGGCAAAGGGCTTCCTGTACCACCCACTCTGGAAAAGAAATCTGAAGACAATTCCAATAACAGAAAATTTTTAAATAAGAGATTATCAGGTAACTTCACATTCTCTCTCTTAATAATGTTTCTCTGTATATTAAATGGGCATTCACAGGGAGCCAGATGAACAGCTATCTGTAAGTCCCCTTTTTAAAACTGGTCAATTTCAGCTTTAAGAGGAAGTTCCTTAGGTGTAGTATGCTTGTGCTCTTCACTGTGGTAAGAGTGTGTGTGGGTAATGTTAAAAGTAGCTTTTTTAGTGGTTTGTTTGTGAATGTAGTAATGCAGTAATGCTGACAATATCTTTCCTGTCTTCTGATGACAGCAACCCAACTCTCTTCATGATGTTGCTGCTTTGTCACAGTACTCACGTGTTGTACATTTTGTATTTATTGATAACATGGTTGATTGTATTCAAGCTATAATGTGTTTGTCTTGAGATTTCTCCTATATTATTATTTACAAAATAAATGAAGGAGTGTTTGCTCTGCACCTGGCTGCAGCCCCAGGCAGGTGCTTTTTCCATCTGCCAGAGAAACATTCCAGGGTACTGTGGCCATAGTGACCTGTCAGGGGTGATGCAGCTGCCCAGGATAACAGGATGAAAAAAAGAAAAAGAGTTAAAAATGAAGGAGTATTTGGTGAGCCCATGGTAATGTCTGTGTATTTTTGACAGAAAGAGAGTTTGATCCTGACATTCACTGTGGGGTCATTGATCTCGACACCAAGAAGCCCTGCACACGGTCTTTGACATGCAAGGTAAGTGGCATCCTGAAGCTGAATACTCTGATGAGCACAGGGAAGTGGGATGTACCACTCTGTTCCCAAAGTCTCACCAACCCACAGGGGACATGATGCTCTGTATATTGCTATGAATTGTTTAAGTTAGGGAATATTTTGGTTCTGATGAAGAAAGCCTAAGCTGACAAAATGTGAGGTATGTTATTATGATAAATTGTTATCTCGAGAGTTTGTTTCTAGTGAGCAGTATTGTATCTAGGAGAATTGTGTTCTTCCCTAATCTGTCTGTTATTTTCAAAGGCTTTTAATATTTCTACATAAAAATTTAATACAAAAGGCTACTGTGTTCAGATAATTTTTACTGTGGTTCAAATTCTACTGAATTAAAACAAGTCTAGTAACTTCCTTTGCATATATATAAATATCCTTAAAATGTGTAAGCCATGGTTCTTAAATTTTAAAGAACTACTTTTTAAAAATTTGTAACTTTGAGATGGCTTTATTCTAGTTTTTAAAAAAATAACAGATAAAATACCTAATTTATATATAAGCTAAGAGAATGTAATGATCCCCCTTTCTGTTCCGAGGTCTTTCTTTATTTCCTTTAAAATGCCGGTATGCTAATAGGAAGTATGTTTGCTGTAAAATAAGAGTTGTTGATGTGGGGATGGCTTCAGGGCATCATTGAGCCCCTCTACATAAATTATATTTGTGCACATTTCTCTGGAGAATGTTTCCAACTGCCCTTCAGAAGAGTTCAAGAAGTATTTAGAATCACTGCTTTGAAGTACGTAATTTAAAAACCTTGTTTGAGGTAGAGGGTAAAAATTATAAAAGTTAGTTTCTTTCTAAAAATTAGTAAAATTGTTGGTATATTATTTCTAATTTTACTAGAGATTGTATTTGAATAAAGGACTCAGGTTCTGCTCCACCCCTTCCCACCAACCAGTGAAGGAATGTAAAAATCTTCACAAGTGGGGAATTTTTAAGTAGGTTTTATTTTAATTTAAATTTATAATTTCATTTTAGTGTATAGATTTTGTCTTAAAACAGTGGTTCTGAACCTTTTGAGGAAGGGCCTTTAAATACCTAATTTTTAAAAATCATGGACCTTCTTCCCAGGAAAAAAAAAGTACATACATACATATGTTCTGAATTTTGCATTCTGTCTTGGGTGATGGACACCCCCACCCCAAGCTCATCTTTGGATTTCTAGATTAAAAACTTCTATCTCGGAACAAACGTTTTTTTTTTTTTTTATAGGATACTAATTGAACACATATAGTGATGTGTTGTTGTTTTTGTTTTGTGAAGATAGCCATTTGAGCTCTGTAAAATTATGTCACAGATTCAGTTGCCCCTAAGGGAATTTGTGGAAGCATGCCTCAGCCCTCTTCCACGTCAGGATCACAACTTGCTGTCCTCTCTCTGCCCTCTTCCTGCCTACCTGGCTCTCAGTAACATAGATTTCTCAGTAACATGGTACCTGTGGGCAATGAAGGGTGCTTTCTTTGTCTGAGATGCTCTGTTTAAATTATCTGTGAAGCATAGTGGTGAACCAAAAGTTTTTTCTTTCATTTTTTAAAATTTGGTTTTATTGTGCTGAGAAACTTAATATAAGATCTACCCTCTTAACAAAGTTTTAAATGTACAATGCAGCATTGTTGACTATAGGTACAATCTTGTACAGCAGATCTCTAAAACTTATTCATCCTTCTTAAGTAAATCTTTATGCCATTGATTAGTAACTCCCTGCTTTCCTCTCCTCCCAGCCCCTAGCAACCACCATTCCACTCTTTGATTTTATGAGTGTGACTGTTTTATATACCTCATATAAATGGAATAATGCAGTATTTATCTTTCTGTGACTTGCTTATTTCTCTTAGCATAATGTCCTCAAAGTTTATCCATGTTGTCACTTATTGCGGAATTTCCTACTTTTTTAAAGCCAAATAATATTCTGTTGTATGTATGCACCACATTTCTTTATCCAGTCATCCATCGATGGACGTTTAGGTTGTTTCCACATGTTGGCTGTTATAAATAATGCCATAATGAATATGGGAGTGCCGATACCTCTTTGAGATCCATATTTTAATTCCTTTGGATAGATACCCAGAAGTAAGATTGCCAAAAGAATCTTCAACTCAAAATCTGCAAGGAGCTTCCCTAGCTCTTCCTTTGCCTTCGTTGCTTGATGAACTGACTTTGTATGTATATGCATATTTCTGCCGTCTTCCTTTTCATATGGTGTGTGCTCTCCTTGTGCTCCTTTATTATTGTCTGTGACATGGTGCTAAACTTTTAATTGCATTAATATGTGTCTTCAGCCCTGGCTTGTCGTGGGTGCAGCACAGAATGGACAGAAAATGCAGCATCCCATCAGGCCTGCCCTTTCACAGGATGCCTTGATTTTCTTCCGTTGTTCTATTTGTCAGTTCTTCTCCCTTTCCTTGCCTTCACTTTGGCCTGAATCTGTTAAGCTGTGTAGAGCTAACCATGCTAGAGTGTCCCCACTCTGAATGTCCCCCAAATTGCTTCTGGATTCTTCCATCTTAGACTCAGAATGTGTCTGTTCCCTTCATTGTCAGGGAATTTGCTGCTGTTCCCTCCATCACTCATTTCCTGTTGTCTGCTTGCCACCCTCATTATCCCCTCCTCACTTCCTCATCTGTCTAATATCCTGTTTGATGTCCTCTGTGCCTTCTATGCAAAGAGATTTGTGACTCTGGCAGCCTTTGTCCATTTGGTCATTGTAGGACTTTTTATTGCATATGTCTGTGAGCACAGGCCTCATTCAAAGTCCCAGAGGATACAGGGTTTAACAAAATCACGGCATGTTGTCTACCCTTGTGGAGCTTACAGTCTAATGAAGAAGATGGAGATTAATTTAATAATCACTCAAATAAGTATAAAATTACCACTGATGATAAAAAGGAGAGAGGCCTATGTCCTGAAAGCCTGTGATAGGAAGATTTGAACAGAAAAGGCTTCCTTGCCATAGGAACAGTATGCTGAAATTCATATGATTATTTACTCGGGTAGAGAGGGTGGTAGAGGCAGGAGAGGTGGAGGAAACAATGTGCATGGAGACTCTGTGACGGGGCAATGCAGATACCATGGAGCCTGAAAGGTGGCCAGTGGCTGAACAAAAAGAGGTAGCAGGCAGCACGTGGTCCCAAAGGAGCGGGGAGCAGTGAACAAGGGTCTTAGAGTGTGCAGGGCTCCAGAAGCCTGGTTAAACAGTCAGTCTTTATCCTGTGAGCCTGGGCAACCCCAAAGAGTTCCATTGGGGGTAGGGGGCAATTATCAGATTTGTTTGGAATGTTCTTCAGAACTCAAATCCTATTTATTCTTCAAACCAAGATGAGAAAATATCGATGGTCTCTGCCAACTTTCTTCACTTGACTTTACTGTGCTAAGTGTCAGGGGACGTTTAAAGATGAGGAGAGGTTTATACATCTGTTTGGAGAGACAGGCAGGTAGACAGGCAGTGACAGATGTCCATTTGTTGTTTCAGCATGTATTGGAGAACCATTATTTTTATATACTTTTTGTTTGAAGCGTTGAGTGCCAGGTTCTCTTCTAAGTGCTGGTACAGCATTAAACAAAACAAAGTTTCTTGTCCTCATTTAGGTTACTTTCTTGTGGATGTATTACATACTAAAGAAAATGAAGTAAAAATTTAAAAAGAAGCTAAACACATTTATCTCTGCCAGGTGAGATTTTGGGTGGACATGGTTTGCAGTATGTCTAGTAAGGAGGTAGTTTATGTTACTGAATTTCAAATGGAAATTAGAAGCATAATTTCCCGTAAGTCTCTTAAATTGTAGCAACCATGCTATATAAACCTGTAGATATATATTTGTATAATGTGTAGGGGCAAGGATACACGTGAAATATCATTTTCAGTTTTTGGTGGTAGCATAAAAGAGAAAAGGAAATACGTAGATGAACTCACTCATGTTCATGGATATGTGATTGGGGGCCACTGTAGTTACTGTAAACTCATCCACTCCACTCCTGAGTATTAGTGTATCCATGCTTTGGTGGGGGGTGGGGGGTGGCTGGCTGGTAAGGATATCTGAGCCCTTGACCTTGGCGTTATCAGCTCATTGCTCTAAGCAAGTGAGCTACCCAGCCAGCCCATGCATTTTTACAGACTGAGACCCCAGCAGTGTGGAATGGTCAGGTTCACTTGACTTGCAAAATCATTTCACAGTGATTAGACTTGACTGCCAGTAAGATTTACCCAACTCTGACCAGTTCACATTTGTGCATTCAACTTTATCTTCTGCTAGGAATAGTATTAGGCTTAAGTGAGCCTTGGTTTTTTTAAATGCCAGTAATTATCAAATGCACTTGGAGTATGGACTTTTTTAATATAAGATGTGCTTCAACCACAGATTTGTATTGGTTGCCTTTTTAATGCAAGCAGTCACATAATTTGACCTTTCTTTTTCTCAGCGTGCCCATTTCTTAATTCTGGAATTAGACATTATCCAAAGACCCAAGGGTGCCATTCATCCCGTTTTCTTGATTTCCACAGCAAGTATCTGTTTATAGGGATTTGCTCTGTTTTCTATCTCTCCTGCTTCCAGCTTTTCTTCTCAGCCTCATCTAAGGTCTTTCTTAGATGTAGCAGTCTCTGTTTCTAGAATGCTTTGAGGCACTTTCTTCTTTACATGGCATTTTTATTGGAATAGAGAGAAGCAGTTGTCTTTAAATTTTTACTCCCTGGCAGTTACTGAAAGAATACCTTCTGTTACATGTTTTATGTAATAATTGTTTCTTTCCTTTAAATTAACATTCAAAATTTTAAGTGGTCCAAAGAGGAATTTTTCTAAGGGAGTTGATGAGAATTCCAGTAAACAAATTATTGTTGTGGCATGAAACATGAGCACCTGTCATTGGTTTCTGCTGTTTGCCACTCAGTTATATGCCAGATGACATAGCTAACATTTCTCCTTTTTTGTGATGGAAATATTGTCACCAGATTCTTCTACATTTAGAGTCTGGAATATGTGCTTCTAGTCTAGCTAAGGAGAAAAGATCGTGGTCTTATGGCTTTTATTTTATTTTATTCATTTTTTGGTAGCTGTCAAGTATGGGGATCCATTCATATTCTTGACCGGGGTGTTATAACACTTCACCCTAACCAACTATAACTGGCCAGCCCATGTTCTTATGATTTTTAGCCTATCAAATGCTGAGCAGTCTTTGACTATGCTAATGGTTCAGATTGCTTTCTTATTGGAAGTGGTGTTTTGAGATATATGACAGATAATTATTTTTGAGATGCCTTAGTTTCTCTATTTTTTTGGTCTGTAGACACATTCCTTAACCCAACGGAGGGCTGTCCAGGGTAGAAGAAAACGATTTGATGTGTTATTAGCCGAGCACAAAAACAAAACCAGGGAAAAGGAATCGATTCGCCATCCTGACTCTCAGCAACCACCGCAGCCTCTCAGGGACCCACATCCCGCCCCTCCTAGAACGTCACAGGAGCAGCACCAAAACCCTCACGGAGTGATTCCTTCTGAATCAAAGCCTTTTGTAGCTAGTAAACCTAAACCTCACACCCCCAGTCTTCCAAGGTAAGCTGAGCCCGCCAACTCTTTCTCACTCCTTCAGAGAACAGATTTGCGTACACTGTAAAACCCCAGTACAGTCATGATGTCGAGAAACCCATCAGGCTCATTGTGGAGATACCTTTTAAATTGAGTTTTGCTGTAGAAAAATAACATTTGTTGAGTTCATCAGTAAGTTTTAACCAGGACTCTTCTTGGATGTAAATGGAAGCAGCAAAATAGAGGTAGAGTTATCTGCTCTACACTTCTCAATGTCAGGTGTCTCAACCCTGTTGAGCAGGGCTGAAATTGGGTTCTGCCTGCAGGTTAATGACTGCATCATTTCACATGGCTTTGTCAGCAGTTTCCCATTCATTTGTCTTGCTTCTTGCAAAATACAGCAGTGGGAATTCTTGCTGGGGACAGACATTCAGCCTGAATTTTTACAGCATCCATTTATCAACATATTTTTTCACTCATTCATTTGGGACTTTGGCTTGAGCATATATTGTGCATTTTAGCAGGGTAGTAAGCAATGGGTCAGAGTGTTTTAGCAAGAACTTAGATGATGGAATATGTGTGTCTTTGTGCTTGCATATTTAGCCAAGTTGGGTTAAAGGACTTTGTACCCAATTTCCAGAAGGACGGGAAAGAGAAAGGCATAGAGAATGAGGGCTTCGTTGTTGCCTGTTCAGCCACTGGCAATAAGGGCTCTGCTTAGGACTGTGCCAGCCCTTGGCTGCTGTTGCCTAACATTTCACCCTCACATGTCTGATCCTTGAAATGGTCACATAAAGGTGGAAGTACCTCCCTCATGGAAACCCAAGTGTGTGCTTGAGCCTATCTCAACATGAGCTCTGTAGTTTCTGAGCAGTACATTGGAGGAGCAGTCAGAGGAGGCTCCCCAGAGTGTGGTCAGGCCCTGGCCGGCTGGAGATTCCTCAGCAGGTCCTTTCTTTGGCCATCTTCTCCTTGAAGTTTTTCCATCTATAAAAAGTAAGCTTAATTCTGAGCCACTAGGTTATTATAGATGTAGGAAAAATACATTTCTGCCCTTGAGTAACCAGCTCTAGACTATACGCATAAGTGGTAATGCTACCTCATTCTTTTATCATCACTTCCTGTCCCTCCTAGATTATCTTAGAGTACTTTGCCAGTTGTCTCATTTATTTGCCTTAGAAACCCAAATCCAGTTGAAATAGAAGAGGAATCAAAGACAGAATTCTCTTAAATTCCAAATGTATTTCCCCTTCCTTGGGGAGAATAGAAGGAAGACCTGAACCACCCAAGTGGCTATAGAAAGGAGAACTAGGTATAAGTTACCTTTTATTTCCCCTTCCTTGGGGAGAATAGAAGGAAGACCTGAACCACCCAAGTGGCTATAGAAAGGAGAACTAGGTATAAGTTGTACATGGCAAACTGCTTAATTGAACATTGTGCAGTTAAGAAGAGAGATTCCTTTACTCCCAAGCCACCTGGATCAGCATCTGTTTTCTCCCAGTACAAATGGTGGAGCCCAGGCCTCCTGTAGGTGGTTTTGGATATGTTGTTGTATCTGAGTTAAGGAGGCTGATTCCCACGTGTGTGATCTGATCTGTGCTGCACTTTCTACTCACCAAGGCCTCCAGGCTGCCCTGCTCAGCAAGGTGGGAGTGCCCCCATTGACCCTCCTCCAGTCCATGAATCTCCACACCCTCCCCTGCCTGCCACTGAGCCAGCTTCTCGGTTATCCAGTGAGGAGGGCGAAGGCGAGGACAAAGAAGAGTCTGTTGAAAAACTGGACTGTCATTATTCAGGTCATCATCCTCAGCCAGCATCTGTAAGTTCCACGTCCACCCCCGCGTTGACCCTCCCCACGCAGCATGGACAGGGCACTGCAGGGGGGCACTCCAGGGACCTTGGCATGCCCGTACATGTGGGACTCAGTCAAGGTGTGAGAGCAGTTCAGAACAGGGCGCCCCAGAGGTGGCACACACTCTGTCTGGGGCCGTCTCGTGCTTTTCCCTTTCTCTTCCACGAACCTCAGGGCTAGGCATTGTCACTCTCATGCTTCGCAGCCTCTAGTACTCAGAGTCAACTTTGTCTTTCCTGATTAGCTCCTTTCCTGGAGGAGAGAGAACCCTCACCGGGCGTGCCAGCGTCAGTGTAAGCAAGCACGTGCGGCTGTGTTCTCTTTCAGTTTTGCACATTTGGGAGCCGGCAGATTGGAAGAGGCTATTACGTGTTTGACTCCAGGTGGAACCGGCTTCGCTGCGCCCTCAACTTCATGGTGGAGAAGCATCTGAATGCGCAGCTGTGGAAGTGAGTGCCTGCTGGTCTTGGGGAGAAGAGCTGACTTTTACCCAATGCTGCATCTTCTTTATTTCCTGTGGGACTGATGTTATGAAGATAGGCTTATCTAAATGAAAATGGGCCTTTGACTGACTCTGAGAAGAAGGCACCTTGTTTGTTCATTTAGCAACTACATATTGTTCTGGGGACAGAGGCTCAAGGCAGAAGGACTCTCACATGTATGGAGCTCACAGTCTTAGTTGGGGATGGGGAGAGGCAAAAACCAGTCAACAGGGGCTGGCCCTTGGCGCACTTGGGAGAGTGTGGTTCTGACAACACCAAGTCAAGGGTTAAGATCCCCTTACCGATCAAAAAAAAAAACCAGTCAACAGAAGAATGAATGAGGAGATAATAGCTTGTCATAAGGGAAATGATAGAAATAAATAATAACAATCACCAACACTGAGAGCTTACTACATGCCAGGCAACTTTTTACATATATTTAATGTTCACAGTCCTCTATGACAGGTGACCACAATAATTCCTGTTTTACAGATAACAAAACTGAGATACAAGTCAGGTATCAAGTTAGTGGTAGAGCCAGGATTTGGATATAGAGAGAGTTTGCTTCCAAATAAAGAGCTGAGGTAGGAAAATAAACAGGCTGGGAGGATTCAAGGAAAGCCTCTCTGAAGAGGTGACCCTTGAATTGAGATGGATGGATGAGAAAGAACAGCCATTGGGATGGTGGGAGTGGGTTCCAGGTAGAAGGTCTTGAGTCAGAGAAGATGACACCTTGTTTGAGAAACAGTGAGAAAGCGAGCATGGTACAAGACAAGGTCCAAGAGTCCTGCAGGGGCCAGATGACATTGAAATTGAGTGTAATGGGAAGCTATTGACAGTTTCAGATAGAGGAGGCATGTGCTCTGATTTGCAATTTAAGACATCTTGTATGGCATTATGTATGCTAATATTTCCCAAATGAGATTTTGAGTGAAAAAAGCGTTCCATAGCCTAAAAGGTTTAACTCAGCCATTCCAGAAATTAAATCATTTTCATTACTTACTGTAGGACTTCTCAGAGCCTTTAATGGGCACTGTGCTTTATAACTCTCAAAGCAGGGGATGTCATGTGTCATGTTTAACATCTCCCAAGCCACTTTGACTTGGGATCCTTTTTTTAGGGAAGCATCTTGAGGAACTAATGTTTGGTGAAATCTACCTGGGTGTACATTGGGCTTTGCTAAAGGGGGCTGTCCAGTTATCCCCAGGTAATCCCAGATCTCCATTTGGGCATCATTTACTAGTGCTTCCTTGAATGGACTTGGCCAGTATCTCTATTTGCCTCCCTGACTTGGTTTCTTAATAAAGTTGGAAGAAGTTGGTTAGAGGCCTTGGATAGTTTACAATCCAGAGAACCATCTCCATAATCATTTGTTCACTTAGGAAACTAGGTCCAGAGCAATGTTATTCTGCTTTTCTATTTCACACTTCTTCCTGGTTCTTACTGGATAAGAGGTGCTTCTTTCTACTTTATGAAGGAGCATTGTCTCTGCCTGGAGACAAAATCAGGAGAGTGGGTTGCTGTGGTTTAAGGGGGGTCTCTTTACATCAGAACACCCCAAGATACATGAAATCTCAGCTTCTTATTTCTTCAGACTACCCAGTGGGACTTGAAGAGCTCAGGCGAGCTCACTAAACTATGAGTTTATTGTACTCACAGGAGTTTCAAGGGGTCCTCAGAATGTTTCATCTCTGTTATATTGATAAGTGGCTCATGGCCAGCAGTTTGGGTGAAGATGATTTCAGTTCATAAGAACTTATGTGGACAGGTTTTCCTTTTTGTGCTGTGAACTTTTGAAAAAGCAGGACCATGAGGTTAACTCCCCTATCTACTGTCTCTTCTGTCAGAAGGCTGACTGCCTTATCACCTGCTCCCAGGAAGGAGGAAACCATTCCTTTCCATTAACATGACCTTTGGGTTTAAAGAAGTTAATACAGCAGTGACAGACATGTTGCTCAATGATGAGCTGGCACACAGGCTTGGGGCGGATGGGAACTTGGAGTGTAGTTCCAAACCCAGGTGCTTGTAGAAATAAATGCTCCCCGAAACAGGAGTGCTGTTGGCTGATTGGGGCAGCCCCTGAGATTTACTGAAGGGAGCTCAACACTTCTCACCCAGAGGAGAACTATTCTCAGGTGGCATCTTTGAGGCACTCAAGGAAACTTTCAAGGTGGTCCAAGTCTCATCCTCCTGGCTCAGCCAGAAATCTTCCCTTTCACAAAGAGCCTCTGTTTGAGTAGCACTCTTCCTGGCCCCTTTCCCTATAGTTGCTTATTGTGGTAAATTTGAGAGCAAGTGGAAGTGGGATTTGAGTATAAAATGAGTTACTTTGGTTTGTGGAGGCTCTGGACAGTGGTGAAGTTAGACCAGCACTTCCTCTGGAGCTTAGCCATGACCTAAAAGGCCATTTCCAAGCTCCTCTGATTTCTGTGAACTGCTTGCCCTCTGCTGATTTGGGACCACTATTCCACAGTCCCCTAAGAAGAGCTAGGATGGTTATCAAAGGGTTTTTTTTGTTTTTTAACTTTTTGAATTGGAAATACATTCATTTGGCTTAAAAAAGAAAAATGAGTATAAAGAGGCATACAGTGGAAAGTCTCGGTCTCCCTGTCCCCTATACTCCTATTTCCTACCCACCCCTCATAGACAGAACCATTTTTGTTTGTTTCCTGTATATCTTTACAGAGTTTCTTTGTGTAAATACAGTCAGTATGACTATGTATTCTTACTTTGCCTGTTCTTTATACAAAAGGTAATGAATTAGTTAAACAAGCTTTTCTAAGAGTAACTGGTAATAGTTACCTGGAGAGAACCACATCCCTTTCCCCTGTGGAAGCCTTTTCCTTTTCTCAGGATTTGGTTCCAGGCAGCCTGGTGTTAGGCTCTGGCCTACTGAGCCACCTGGTGGCCATGAGAAGCCATTGCACCCAACAAGCTATAGTACCTTGACTTTATTTCAGGGATTCTCAAACATGCCAGTGCCAACAAATCACCTGGGGGCATTATTGAGATACAGATTCTGATTAAATAGATTTGGGGTGGGGCCCGGGAACTCAACACTAGAGGGCTCTCAGGTAATGTCAGTGCTTGTTCTCCTCTGTGAATAGTACAGGGATAGAGCCTAGCTTCACAGTCTTGGCTCCCCAGTGCCTCTGGTGTAATTGGCATGGGCGTGGCTTAAGCTCCACAGGTAACTGTATTGTGCAATCAAAACTGAGAAGCACTAACCCCAGACTAGAGCTACACTCTTGAATGGGGTTTTAAAGCAGGTGCAAATTTTTCAGTCATTAATTCCTTTTATTAGTAACTATAGTCTTCTTAAAAAGCATCTGGAACGCACTTTGATAGCAGTGTAGGCCAACTCTCTCACTTGAAAGATGAGGAAATGGAGCTGGGGTAGTGACCGCATCAGCCAGGGCTATTCCACTAAGTCAGGAGCAAGGCCATCTTGGCATTTGCCTTCCAGGCAGGTTGTTTACTGTTTTGCCACCTTGGTTTTAATTCTACATAGGAGTATTTGAAAATGTTGGTGCTGTCACAGTTAAAAATCAGAGCTCAAATAAACGGGGGCCTCCTTGGTTTGACTATTTGAACGGCTCCCCCATTCCTCAATAAATACCTTGCCCTGACATTATTAACAGAATATATTGTTACAACACTGTGACTGAAAATTCCCTGAGATTTTGAGGCTTTATTCCCCTGTGCAGTCTTTCTGGCTGATAGTTATGACCTAGCAGTTGCTGTTAACTAGCTGCGCCCTTCCTTTTTTCTCATTCCTTCCCAAATTCTCTCAACATTTATCGAGTACTTTCTGTATTCCAGGCACTGTGCTAGGCACTAGGGCTACAGTGGTAAATAAGCTGTGGATGGCTCCACCTGCAAAGGAGTTAGTGATTAATAGTCACATTAAAACCACCCTAACTCTTACCAAGTCTACAAATGGGGCAGTGTGAGTCCATGGGGGAACTAAGCAAGTCAGGACGGTCAGGACAGATTTCCTACAGAAGTGATGATGAGCTGAAATCTAAAGCCTGAGCAGAAGTTGGGGGTAAGAATGAGGTCCAGGTAGAGGATATACAGGCTCTTCTGTCATGGCATTTACCTGGAATGGAAGGAAGATCAGTGTTTGGAACAGGAAGCTGGGCAGTAGTCGGGGTAAGACATGCACACTCACCGCTATTCTAAATGCCCCACGAAGGCATTAAAGACTTTGAAGGAGAAAAATGACAAGATAGGCTTTGTGTTTTAGAGTCATCACTCTGATGGAGTATGTTTCTCAGCATCAGAGATGAAGGGTGTGCCCATCTGCCAGTTTCCATGAATGGCTATGGTGAATGTCACTCACTGCCCTCTCCTTTCTTCAGGAAAATCCCACCAGTGCCCAGCACCACATCACTGGTCTCCACACGTGTTCCTCACCGGACAAACTCTGTGCCGACATCACAGTGCGGGGTCACCTATCTTGCAGGAGCCACTGTCTCTACATCCCCAGTTCTACTGTCATCCACATGCATCTCCCCAAATAGCAAATTGGTACCAGCTCATGGAACTACGCTAAATGCACAGCCTGCCGCTTCCGGAGCAATGGATCCTGTGTGTAGTATGCAATCCAGACAAGTGTCTTCTTCATCCTCATCCCCTTCCACACCCTCTGGCCTTTCCTCAGTTCCCTCCTCCCCTATGTCCAGGAAACCTCAGAAGTTGAAATCCAGCAAGTCTTTAAGGCCCAAGGAGTCTTCTGGTAGTAGCACCAACTGTCACAATGCCAGTAGCAGTACCAGTGGTGGCTCAGGAAAGAAACGCAAAAACAGTTCCCCACTGTTAGTTCACTCTTCCTCCTCCTCTTCTTCTCATTCCATGGAGTCTTTTAGGAAAAACTGTGTGGCCCACTCTGGCCCTCCCTACCCCTCAACCGTAACGTCTTCCCATAGCATCGGCCTCAACTGTGTGACAAATAAAGCAAACTCCGTGAGTGTCCGGCATGACCAGTCAGGGAGGGGCCCCCCTGGGGGGATCCCTGCTGAGTCCATCAAGAGGATGAGTGTGATGGTGAACAGCAGCGATTCCACTCTTTCTCTTGGCCCATTCATCCACCAGGCCAATGAACTGCCTGTCAACTCCCACGGCAGCTTCTCACACTCACACACTCCTTTAGAAAAGCTCATAGGAAAGAAAAGAAAGTGCTCACCTGTCTCAAGCAGCATCAACAGCAACAGCAGCAGACCCACAAAGGTTGCCAAATTGCCAGCCATGAACAACGTGCACATGAAACACACAGGCACTATCCCAGGGACACAAGGAGTGACTAACAATTCCCTCCTTCATCAGGTAGGAAGTGGACTGTGAACCCCATGGGAATGGCCATTTCCCCTCCCTAAGGAACTTCTGCCAGCTTGGAAATCTGTGTGGTTGGGTTGGTTGGTTTGCTGTAAACAGATATCCAGCTTCATGGTGTCTTTAACAAAAAGGAAGAGTTCATGGCCATGTGAAGGTAAAACAGGTTCCTCTCTGCCAGAATTTCTGATGTCTTTGGAAGATGCTCCTGGGCAAGGAATCCACAGTAATGCATGTTGCAGATAGGGCTGCAGAAAGCATCAGGCATGACAGTAAAATCAGAATTGCAAGGGAGTTGTTCGCCATAGCCAACCAGGTGCTCACCTGGTACTATGTGTGCATCCTACGATGCTGTTGAGGAAGGAAGCAGGCATTGTTTCCTGGATGCTGATGCTCCAGTATGTTTGCCTGAAGAAAGCTGGGCTGCTAAAACCAAACTGATCTAGAAAGGGGTCATTTAGGATTTTAAAAGAAAGACTTTTTAGTATTTTTCTCCCTCAAAGATTTCAGATATTCTGTGTTAAATTGCACCCCATATTTTCTCCTCCCTGTACTGGAGGGAGGCAGGAAAACAGGATTCAGTGTGGGCTTCGCAGAAAACTAAAATCTCATTACAAGTTAACAGTTTAAAAAGAAATCTGGGGGCCGGCCCGGTGGCGCACTGCTGTAGTGCGCCGCTTGGGAAGTGCAGCGGCGCTCCCGCGGAGGGTTTGGATCCCGCATACAGACCGGTTCCCGCTCACTGGCTGAGCGAGGCATGGGAGCAACACCGAGGGTTGCGATCCCGTTGCTGGTCCCGGTCCGGTACGGGGGCGACACTGAGGGTTGCGATCCGTTGCCGGACACGGAAAAAGACAAAAAGGGAAAAAAAAAAAGAAATCTGAATGTGGGCCCATTAGTAGAGAAGTGGCTGAGTGGGTATTGGATTCGGAATTAACTATGACTTTCTTTCTTATGCCATTTCTTTGTCTTTTCCCTACTCTTCCACCTTTACTGTTTTCTCCTGACTTTCTCTTCTGTAGCTGTTTCTTCCAGCTACTTTGCTCTAACTTCCAGCTCATGTCTCATCTTATTTCATTCATCAGGATTTCTCCTCACCTTGCTTACAAACAGGAATTTCAGCAGCATCACCCCAGAGCCCTGATTTAAAATGTGAGGCTCTTTTTTATGTTTTTTTACCCCCTTTCCTCATTTTCAGAACTTAACTCAAATGCAAGGTTAGAACTTTTTCAGAAAATAGGAAAAGTTTTTACTGTGATGTAATTTGCTTTCAATATTTGTGTGAATTGACACCCAACAGCAAAGGGGAAATATCCATGAATTTAAGTAGCTGCTTAAATTATGGGCTATCTGTATGTTCAGCTTTTTGAGCAGGGATTTCTGGACAAATGAGAATTGTGCTTTTACTTCTTGGTTTGTAGTTACTCATTATAGTTTATGATAAGCATAACAGCGCAGTGCAAACACAGCAAGAAATGATAATACCCATCCCTTAAACACTCCCTTGAGGGCAGTGTCCCAAGGAGATGTGACCTTCACATCTGGGGTGGTATTCCATGGTGCTGTGATGTCCATCTCACATTTTTGTTACTGAGCACACACTGTCTTCATTTAGATGGGTGTAGCTCTTACTACCCACTGTAACAAAAAGGACAGAAGGAGGCTGGCTCGGGGCACAGCAGAGTGTGACAGTGCCTATGGGAAACTGGGGAGTGGGGGCCCATCTGGAGCAGCGATTCCCAGACACTTGCTACCACTTTTAAAGAGAAACTGCAGATCTGGACTTGCATGTGAAATTTGGCATTTTTTTTTTTTTTTTTTTTTTTAAAGATGACCGGTAAGGGGATCTTAACCCTTGACTTGGTGTTGTGAGCACCACGCTCAGCCAGTGAGCGAACCGACCATCCGTTTATGGGATCCGAACCCAGGGCCTTGGTGTTATCAGCACCGCACTCTACCGAGTGAGCCACGGGCCGGCCCAGAAATTTGGCATTTTTAAAAGAGATTTTATATATGTATATATATATATATATATATATATACACATACACATATAGTTTTTTAATCTGGTGTTGGCCAAGCTTGGCTCATGACCTGCCAGTTTGCCACCTCTAATTTTTACCAACTGGGGGACTATGTCCGACTAGGAAGACCCAAATAAAAGAGATTTTATATATATATATATATATATATATATATATATACACATACACATATAGTTTTTTAATCTGGTGTTGGCCAAGCTTGGCTCATGACCTGCCAGTTTGCCACCTCTAATTTTTACCAACTGGGGGACTATGTCCGACTAGGAAGACCCAAACAGTCTAGCTTTGGGTTCTTTCCCTGAAAATCAGTTTGGACTTAAGTTTGTGTTTGAGAAAGATTTCCTCTGTGTAGTGGAATACTGTTTATTATGCTACACAAATCATAGGGACCCATGACTAGAGATCAGAGGATCAGTGAACCCCAAGAAGTGTGGCACATTTTTTGTCTGTGTTCATTTATCTGCAGGAGCGATCCTATAGCTTTCATCAAAATCTCAAAAGTACCCATGACTCGAAAGTGCTTTAAAGAATGCTGCTCTTAGAAATGTAGGGACCTCAACTAACCATGCCCTGTGGAGCTGACTTTACAACAGAGATAACTGAACTGGCTAACGTCTTCTAAGTAAAGGAATGAAGGGGGACATGCTGGGAAGCCTAGGAGATGGGGTTGGGCAGGCACCCCCTAAGAGTCTATTTAGGTCTTCTGCCACCAAGGACTTAAAAATAGCCCACTGTGAAGGCCAGAGTTCCCTCTCTTGGCACAGGCACTGCCTTGGGTGTGAGCTGTCTCACCTGTGGGAGCTAGCCCATTTGATCTTATTCTTAATTAACAACCTGGAATACTTTCAAGGACACAAATCAGTAAATAAAACCGAAAGGCAAAAACATGAGAGCCCTTTCTCTAAGCTAGAAACCCAGGCCTGCTCTCTTCTGGTGGGTCTTCTAATAGTAAATCTTTAGAATGATTGTACCTAAGGGCAGTGGAAGCTTTTGAAAGCTAGGGCCAAATTCTATAGCTGACTGCTCCTGGCATGTGGCCTGGAATATCTTCTTGTAGAATCAGGGAGTACAATGTACAACTGCTTACTTACCTTTTCATTGTTTCCCCACTCTCTCTTTTTTTGAAAGCCAAAGGCACGTCCCTGACAGCTGAAAATAGCACGGGGAGGAATAATCTGGACACTTTTGAGGACAAGTTACACCTCCACTCAGCGCTCTGGACTCCATGATGCCTTTGAGTCTGTTTTCCCAACCTCCCGTGGGCCTCAAGGGTAGAAACCTGCCGCCTGGCTGTTGTTTTAACAAGGATTTCCCTGAAGCTATGTCTGTAGCAGTGAGTACTCATAAAGGACACTGGATCAAGTTCAGCCACCGAATTGCTTTTATCAGTGTTAAAGTGGTCTGGACTGCTTGCTACCAATCTGTGAGAAGTTTTTGTTTTTGTTTTGTTTTTTGAACTTGCAGTATATCATGGAGCCACTCTTTGAGTAGATTGGCTGGGCAAAAGAATGTTTTGGCAAGAGCATTACTGTAGACTTGTCTCCCTCCTCCCTCTCCCTGCCTTTTTTTTTTTTTTTTTTTTTTTTTTAAACACTGTCTTCTGTAGGTCATTCTCCAGCAGTTAGGCACCTTAACTGGAGAGTGGGGACCTTCCAGAGGAGAAAGCACTACACCCTGAGCAACCCTCTGGAGAGGGAATTTGGCTTTAGATTTTTATAGCAATGTTCCAAGAATGGAATATGGATGTTAGTGCAAGGCCCTGTGACAGAATAGTCCAGCCTTTTGCAGATAATTTGGGATCAGAAGCTGTCAGAAGTTTCTGACTTACAAACTGGTTTGAAGCCACTGATGCCCAGAGAGCAAGTATAAACCATTTTAGAGGATTACTTTTCATGGTACAAAAGCAATTCTGTGTGATTAAAAAAAGAAAGAAAATGCAAATTAGTTTTGATAAAGGAAAGCCAAATTGGGAAGGAGGGAGTGGGTGGGAAAGGTAAAAATCACTATAAGGAGAAAAAACTTTTTACAAGATTTCCAAAGAAATGGAATTTTCTTATCCTTTAAGCTTTCGTGTTAAACAGTATGTCAGATTGGGTTGGTTGTCCTACCTAGTCTCTTTTTTAAAAATTGCCTTTTTAAAGTGAAATTATTAGGATGTACTTAAATGTTTCCAAGGCACTCTTTGCATTACCCCCATTTTCCTCTTTGGATACTGTCCTGGGACTAAGTGTAAATTTCTGCCTTGAGCACTCTGGGTATTGTGTGTGTGTGTGTGCCCACGCTCCCTTATGCCACTACAGATCTTTATTTGGATGCAGTTGGGGTAGGGAGCAGACCCTGAGGGAGGGGAGTTGGAGAATGTGTACACTTACCCACATGCAGGTTTTATTTGATGTGCATATGGTATTTCCCTGACTACATACTCCTTTCTTGGGATTAATGCCAGCCATCTTCCTGAGAGAGTTCTGGAGCCCTCTAGAATATTTTTTCAGGTACTCCACCCCCCAAAAAAGAACTTAATATGTTAAAACAGCATTGCTTGAGAAGATGTCATTGAATTTTGGGGATGAGTTGGGGCCTTTTAACGGGTGATTCTACCACAACAACTCCTGAAACGGGAACCAGGCACTTTTGCTTATTAGAACACACAAAGTTGCCGAACACAGGGTAAAATTTCCAAGGCTCTGAGCATTGCCCTGGCCAGTGCCTAGACAGAGCCACTCAGTGCATACTTTTTTTTCCTATAATTCTTGGATTACATACTTCAGTTTCAGGGAATTTCAAGTCAACAACAGGTAGAATGAATAAATACTTGGTTACCAGCCTAATAATGTGAATTGCTACAGAACTATTCTTATTATGTAAGAAAACAAAAACTTTATGCAGATACTTTAGCTATAAATTGATGTAAAATATTGATTCTTTTTTTAAAGGAAGGGGAGAACAGTATCTTGTTCACTTATTATGCAATCAACCAGTAAATGCTTTTAAAATGATACTATAGGAGAGCTTAGTAAGGAGAGAGCATGGATGGACCAGTTTGGGATAGTGAAGAGAAATCAGTCTGATTGTTCCATCCCAGTGAGTGGAGAGAAAGGAGCTAAAGAGGGAATCAGAACGTACCTAGTTGATTCCTTGGCGACAAGTGCAATGGGGTATATAGATAGAATTTATTTTCAGAGCCAAGGGGACTTGATGGTTATAAATAAAGTTGCTTTTATCAGTGGAATTTATAGACAGATCATGTTGTTCCAAAAGATGTGAATAGGATCCACAATAGCAAGTTGATTCAGAATAATGTAGATATTTAGATTAGCGAGTATTGATCATTTGATTTCTTAGACTGAAGTTTTCGTTGAATTTCATTATGTCTCCCGGTAGTACACAGAGCATCGGGATTAGGATATTAGCCATTTTGGATTCTGCCTGCCACAAACAGACCTATTCTAAACAGTGCTATTAAATTTTAGACTGTTGTTCAAATGTTTTATTTTCTCCTACAACTACTTTTTATTATGAGGAACAATTAAGACCATTTAAAACAAGGGAATACAAGTATTTTTTTGAATTAAATTAACTTGGAAAAACCAAATTTGCAGTGGTTGGGTTGTTTCTAGACAGACTTTGGTATCAATTTAAAACCAAGATAATTTTTATATTCTTTCCAATAGAATTTCATGACAACTCCTGCAGTTTTCTTAGCCTACAAAAAAATAAAAAGTGCTGCAATGATGAACAAAGAATTATACAAAACCTACTTTTGTATCTTTATTTTGGAATTTCTCATTCTATTATAAATATGGAAGTATCCCTATTTCAGAAGACATATTTTGTTAAAAATGAATTGTACATATTTAAATATGTATTTTTGCACAGGTCTTTTTTTCCGATATCCTGTTTTGGTACAATTGAGATCATCTAGTATTTATTTATTAATTAATAAAAGTAAATACCTTTTTATAATTTGAAGTGGTTCACTGCCAAGCCAATAGTTCTAGAATTTGCCTCCTTTACAGTTTAAGGGATGCCTCTGTTCTGTGAAAGTCTTTGTCCCTTTTAATGTCTCGGGAGTGGATTCATACAGATGAAGTGGGCATTGCTTCTCCCTAGTTGCCTGATTTCCCGATAGACTAAGTGACACACTGCTTTTCTTTTGTTAGTGTTTTATGTGTGAATGTGTGTGTAAGTGTGCGTGCGTGTGCCTGTGTGTTTGTGTGTATACTCTCTGAGCACATGTGTGTTAGTATGTGATGTGGTTTAAAACTAATGGAAAAAACTGAAAGTGCCTGAACCTAGTTTTAAGCTTAGACAGAATCTCTTTAAAAGACTTGAATGTTCAGTTGAACTTTTAGAGTTTGCTTTTTCCACCTAAATATTGTTTCTGAAGTTTTAGGGGAGGAGTAGAAAACCACCAATGCTGGTAATTCTATAAGGTATTTTAAAATTCAGACCTTTTGGTTCACAGTAATTCAGCTGGTGATGGATTGCCTGGGGCACCAAGGGTTACTGATCTTTTTGTCAGCCAGCAACTTACACAATGTGTTCGTTTTGTTATTCACTCATGAAATACAGCGTTTAAAATAGAATACTTAAAATATTTTGTATTCCAAAAATAAAATACAAAGAAGTACCTCTGAGAACATGGAAAAAAATGTATAATTTGAAAAATGTAACTTATAAAGGCAGCTGTCTTCCTGCAAGAGTTCTGTTGCCAAGGAATTTCTTAATGTCTCATTTTGTCCTGGGGGTGAGGGGGTTGGGCTTTGAAAATTGATTGTTAAAAGTTTCATTGTTTAGCAGAAAATAATCATTTTTACATTTTGTGCAAAACATTTTACATTTTCAGATCATTTAAATGAGCACTACATACTGTTGGTGTGAATGTAGGGCCTTGAGAGCATTTTGCTATGTTTTTTTGAGCTTCGTTATAAAAGCAATCTCCTGTGTTAAAATGTGTGAATAGTTTGATAATTTGTACACATAATCAAGAGCATCTCAGCTGGACTTTGTGTTGGCTGCTGTATAGAACATGAACAAATGTCAAGGGATAGAAAATTACTTTGGATATTTAAAAGAGAAGAAATATATAGTCTATTTGTTTTGTAACAAGTTTCTGTAAATAAAATAATTTATACTATTTATAAGAAAAAGTTGTGCTTTGCTTTATGACAAATTAGTTTGTGGAACAAACATGTTACTAAACGGGCAATAAAATTAGGACTTCTCAATAAATAAGGTTGGCTGCATGAAATATCTTACATGTTTCTGCCTCATTGTGATACTAAACCCAAATTCAGTCTTGCCTGACTTCTCTTTATTTTTGGCATCAGACACCTTCTGAAACACCTTCACTTTTGCCTCTCTCCTGTACTAGCTAAATTCTTCTGTGGCATTAGGATGATTCCATTCTTGGACACAGAGCTTTGCCTTGGGTAAACTAGTAACTGTGTAAACAGTGAACACTACTGTTTTCTGGCCCTCTAGGTTTGTGAAGTAAACAATGGGGAGCTGATAGATTTAGAAGCACATTTTGTTTGTACTTGTTAATATGTAAATTTGATGACATGTAATCAATTTTTAGAGAGCTAAATTTTTTATCCAGAGATGGTATATAATCTCTTCCTTGCTTTTACATACCTCCCTTACTGGCAGTACAAGTGCATTTTAGTATTATTTAGAGCATAACATGGAATCTTCTCTCTCTGGAAATCTGGCTAGTTTTACCATTTGCAAATAAATCATTCTAGTAAATTCAAAATTATGTTTGTTGCTTAAGAGAAGTTGCTTTCTGTATTGGAAAAAACATTCATTACCTTACATGGAAGAGTTAGCCTGGCTTCAACCCCCATGCCCCATGGACAGTTCCCTCCTTAGATCAACCACCTACTCAAATCCAGTCATAGGAAGCTCCCTACCACTGTGGGTGTCCTCCAACGTCCCAGGAAAAGGGGGGTTCTCTTAACCTTTTTACTTCCATTCCCTTTTAGATCACCTGACCCTGGACAGCAAGAGACTATCCCAGTTCAAAGAAGGGGGGTTGGCAGTTTGGATCTTGGCATATGGGATTTCACCTGGCAGAAAGACAAGGGTAAGGTCCTTCTGGACAGAGGAAGAAAATGGGGTGAGCACAGGAGTGAGGAAATGAGGAATAAAGTATAATTCTACGTGAAGTTTGCTGGACAGAAAGGGTTAATAGGGTTGGAGAAGTTGGTGTTAGATTGTCAAGGACCTTGAATGTCATGGGGCCTTTATCCTCAGGCGGATATGGGATCTGGCTCAGATTAACCTAAATGTAACTATCAGACCCCAGATATATATATATATATATATTTTTTTTTTTTTCCCCCTTTTTGTCTTTTTTCGTGACCGGTAACAGGATCGCAACCCTCAGTGTCGTGCCCGCACCGCGCTCAACCAGTGAGCGGACCGGTCTCTATATGGGATCCGAACCCTCGGCGGGAGCGCCACCGTGCTCCCAAGCGCCGCACTCTACCGAGTGTGCCACGGGGCCGGCCCAGAGCCCAGAGATATTTCATGGTCTAGTCTCACCACCACCGTACAGCTGCTAAAAGTAAAAGCCTAAAAGCCATTCAGATCTTTACTGGAGACGGGAAAGCCAAAGGAGCACTTACATCTCCTTCCCTATCTCCTGCATTTTCGCTTTTTTTGACCTCAAATGTCTGTCTTTAAACCTCCCCCAATCCTAATCAAAAAACTTTCCCCTAAATCAAGCCTAAGGTCCTGTCTCCCTCCTCTTTCTCTTCTCATAAGAAAGTCTTGCTCCTGTTTCTCATGGCAGTTAGTTAAACTAGTCTTTCACCTTGTATGGCTGTAGTTTTTGGCACTTGTTATTCTCATTTTCCACAACCAGAGCCCACGGACCAAAGCTGGCCTACCAGAATCTCTCTTAGCAGGCAGGGGAGGGTGAGACTGTCATCCAGAGAAAAAGATTTCAGGGGGAAGGGGAGAATCAAATACTTGTAATTGAATATTTAAAAAAAAAAAAATCTCCATCACATAGGGCTCTCCAATAACTATAGAAGATAGAATGGACAGGTGAGAAGTTTGTGAGAGTTACAAAGCTGTTGTAATAATCCAGGTAAAAGCTTTGAAGTTTCTTAACTAAGGCTGTGACCATGGAGATAGATGAGTGATTCCAGAAAGCTTTTAAAGGTAGAACCAACAGGCCTTGAGGTCTAATTATGCTGAACATTAAGAGGAAGAGTGAGTCTAAGATGACTTACAGATTTCTAGCTTGGCCAGACCTGTTGATGAACTCTAAGTGGAATGTGTGAGGTAACGGAAAAAAAGACATACCAATGGATTTGAGTTGCTGGTGTGGGGAAATTCAGGTTTAGTACCTAGTCGGTGATTGAGTCTAGATGGAGCTTGAGGAGGGGGTTTGAGCTGTAAATTAAAAATGGAGAGTTGTCTTTCATTAGGTCATGGAAGTGGGTGAGTTTAACTGGGAAAAGTATGTAGCTAATAGATTTGGCTTACTATTATGTTAAAGTAATACTTATCTAGTTAAATGTTTAATATTCTAATTCAATATAGCCAATAACAAAGAGGGGTTAACATACCAGGCTTGATCCAGGGCGCAGAGCTATCAGGATGACATAGCTTTTTCAGGACTAGTCCAGGCAGTGGAGGAATAGGATAAAATAGAGTGGAAATCCAGTGTTCATTTTCAAAAGCGGAGCTGTTCAGAGGTGCTTGTGATTCCTGGGTGAGGCCATGGCAGTGGATGGAAACTGTGCAGTTGAGGCTGAAGTACTGTGAAGCTAGGGTATTACTGTATAGGTGGTCCACTTTAAAGTGGTTAGGGTTAAGAGGAAGACTGAGACACCTGCTCAGGTCAGGAATGAACTGGATGGAGCAGGGGGAGTAAAGTGGAGGTCTGTGATTGAGGACAGTGAGCACAGTGAGTTGGTGGTGTTAGTGGGTGGTAAGCAGCTTCAAAGAGAAGACATTTTGAATGAGGGTGGAAAACACAATGGTGAGGAAAGAAAGAGCAAGGAACTAGGGAACAGCAGACTTCATCTTGGCCCCAAGCTTGTGAGGTGTGTATGAATGCAAAGCCTCTAACCCAGAGTGTTTCAAGAAAAGCAAAAATCTCAAAAACCAAGTGTGGAGTTTATCAGCATTGATATTCCACTAATTACATACATACTTTGGAAAAGCAGGTAACCTCTGAAAGGGTTGGTAAAGTCTTGACTAAATGGTCACTTCCCTAAGGAAATCTCAGGATGGAAAGGTGTTTTAAAATGGCTGGTTTGAAGACTAACCATTCACTGACAAATTGTCCCTTTTATTTCTTAAACTCAATCTGTACCAGCAAAATTATGCCATTATAAGCGATTTTGGAATGACAAAAAGGTTAGATATCCCCCTTGACTCTGCTTCAAGGCTATATTATGGCCTGGACCAGACTGCTACAAATTGACATCTTTTGTATGTCTTTAGAAACAAGAAAAATGCAGATCTGCAGTCTGTGGCTTTGAAACCAAAATAGGTGAGTATTAAAGCTTTCATGTTTTCTAGTTAGGGATTTAACTTATTCCCCCATAGCCATTATGGAGGTATGAGGTGTGTTAGCTACAAATTCGTGTAGCATTGGGGGGGGCAAGGATTATCTCAACCTCACCCACCCACCCCCGCTGCTTTGTTCCCTGTAATCGTGGGGGGGGGGGCAATTAACATGTCAAGTATCAGCTGTTCATCCTCTTAAAAAAAAAAAGGTTAACAGCACCAAGGATTCATTCACAATATGAAACTATACAAGTGATTTACTAATGATCGGTAATCCTCTACTGAGCAATTAATATTAATGCACCGTCAGGTTACTAAGGACCAAAGTATTCAGTCATAAAATCTTGTGCTGGAGAATACATGCTTAGTGATCAAACTGTAGAAATCCTTGTAGCCATTTGGACAGGGTAAAAGTTAAGTGCAAACACTTAACAAAAAATGGCTTTTAGGCTGTATTTCTATTCCTAAAACACTGCTAGTTAATAAGCTAAGAATTGATCAAAATCTGTTTTTTTTTTTTTGACCGGTAAGGGGATCGCAATCCTCGGCACGGTGTGGTCCGCACCACGCTCAGCCAGTGAGCACACCGGCCATCCCTATATAGGATCCGAACCCACGGCCTCGGCACTACCAGCGCCACACTCTCCCGAGTGAGCCATGGGGCCAGCCCAAAATCTGTTATTTCTAATACAGGAAATAGATTAACATAATTTGACATCGCTTTTAAATATCATATATGAATAAATATTATATATGAATACATATATAATCATTTTATTGAGGTAAGAGACACTGGCATTATTGCTTTAAAAAATAATCACAAAAGATAGTTCATCTCAGCACATTTCCATTTTATACTAAGATAGTGTATTATGAGAGAGACCTGGGTTGATTTAAAAAAAAAAAAAAAGTGTAGGCCTTGACAGAAATGTCATAGTTGTGCTCTGTGATCACTTCAGCACAAGTAGTTATGTTGGTGAGAGTTGAGGGCAAGTATTATTTCAAGAAACTGACATTTTCATCCTACTTTCTTCCCTCTAGCAAAAACCACAATGAGTCAGTTTGCTAAAAACAATTCCAGAATTCTACCAATTTTTAAATGGACACAAGGAACACGGTAAGTTCTCAATATGATGGATTTAGCAGAGATTGCACTAATTGATTTTCAGTATCAGGGATTTTGTTAAGGGTATTTATAGTCACAATTTCTTCAAGAAATTATTATTATTAAATAAGGTTTAATAGATGAACATATTTTTAGAAATCCATAGGTGGCTATTCTCAAATGCTTTAGGTATATCCAGCATTTTGAAAGACTCCCATGCACCACACAGTGCCTACAAGAAACTTTCAAAGCACAGCTCTGGCCACATGATCAATGGCCCCTCCCCCAGTACAATACTGATGATAGCCACTGTCTTGACTTTTAAGAGAATGCTTCTAGTATTTTTCCATTAAGTACCTTGTTTGGGATAGGGCTTTTCATAGTTTACTGAAGTGTTTTTGCCTATCATGAAAAAATGGTGAATTGTATCAAATCATTTTCAATCAAATGAGATCATGTGCTTTTGCTTTCTCCTGTTAATGGATCATTCCCATCAGCAAATAAGCATGCTCTCAAAAAACAAAATCTCTTCTTTCTCTCCTCTTTTACAGTAAATTGTGCTTTCCCTGTTCTTTTTAACTCACCTCTACCAAAACTGCTCATCAAGGTTAACAGT